TTGAGACAGAGTCTCACTCTGTTGCCCTGGATAGTGTGCCGTGGTGTCACAGCTCACAACAACCTCAAACTCTTGGATTCAAACGATTTTCTTCTCTCAATCTCCCAAGTAGCTGGGAGTACAGGTGCCCACCCCGATGCCCACCTAGGGTTTTTATTTTGAGTAGAGACAGGGGCTTGCTCTTGCTCAGGCTGGTCTCCAACTCCTGAGCTCAGGCAATCCACCTGCCTCTGCTTCCCAGAGTGCTGGGATTACAGGTGTGAGCCACTGTGCCCAGTTCTTACAATGGCATTTTTAAAATAAGATGTGCCGTCAGTCATTCCTGATTTCTACCTCTGAAAATAATAAGAGAAGTACCTTTATCACATGTGTGTAAACCTTTTATATTAAATTATTATTAAGCAGGTTTTAATATTCCAAGATTTGCAAGCTTGTGCTAACCCAGCCATAACACCCACAGAACTCTACCATATTTTCCTTCATCCTTCTGGTGAACATCGTGGCCTTTTCCTTCGTACCCTTGCTTTCTACGTACCCTAGATTTATATGACCTGCAGAACGTCTTGTTTTAAATATCTTTTTTGAGGTGTAGTTTACATTTACCATGAAATTAACCTGTATTAAGCCACAGTTCTGTGAGTTTGACTTAACATAATGAATGCAGTTGTGCAGCTATGGCCATGACCCAGTTTTAGACTTCTTTCGTTCCAGAAAGTTCTGTTGTGCCTATTTACAATCAGTCTTCTCCCTCATCCCCATGCCAGGCAATGACTAATGTATCTATAGCTCTGGCATTTTTTTTAGAAATTTCATATAACTGGGATCACAATGTAACGTCTGTCTAACTTCCTCCATTTAGTGTAATGTGTTGGAGGTCCGTTCATGTTGTCCCGTATTCAGGAATTTGTTCCTTTTGATTGAGGAGTGCACCTCATTTTGTTTATCCATGTGCCAGTGGATGGGCATTTGAATTGGTTCCAGTTTTTTAGTATTATGAATAATGCTGTTAGGAACAGTCATATATAATTCTTTCTGTGGTCATGTTTTCATTTCTCTCGGATAGGTATCTAGGCATGGAATTGTTTGGTCATATGGCAATGTATATTTTAACTTTTTAAGAAATTGTTGATAGGGGAAGATGGCGGCTGCTCTTTTGGAGGAGAGGGATTGAGAGGGGCGGAGGGAGGAGGCCCAGACAGAAAAGGTATTCCCGACAGTGAAGACGAATGCTTCGCTGGCCATTAGGAGCTCTGCTCGACGCCAGACAGGTCTCGCTATGTTGCCCAGGCTGGAGTACAGTGGCTATTCACAGGTGCACACTACATATATCATAGCACATTACAGCCTCGAACTCCTGGGCTCAAGCGATCCTCCTGCCTCAGCCTCCCAAGTAGCTGAGACTACAGTGTCCTAGAAGGAAAACATCACCATGGCTACTGAGATTGGTTCTCCTCCTCGTTTTATTCATATGCCAAGGTTCCAACACCAGGCGCCTTGACAACTATTTTATAAGCGACCTGATTTTGCACAGCAGCAAGCTATGCAACAGCTT